ATATAATATTAAACGAGTATAACATAATATTAAACAAATAAATACAAATAATATCACAAATGAACTTTTGAGTGAAAAGAATCAATTATATATACAATAATATATCATGTTGTAAATTTATAATATTACGTAACATTATAATTATAGCATTTTAGATAAAAAAATTCAAAATTATACCCTTAAAGTAACATTCTAGGACATTCAACTTCTATCTATTTAAAAGTTTTTATTGGTACATTAGATGATTGAGCTATATGATAAGAAATAATCATTCTTTTCCCACAAACTCTCTTTATTTGCTTTAGTGATTCAAATATAAAATCTCTAATTTAAAGTTTCAAACTCATTACCACTTGAGACTCCTGAGACTTATCCATTTAAAGTTTGTAAAAATATTTTAAACACCTAGCTCTCAACATCCCTACACTATCTTTGTCCTTGTTTGAAAAGAAAATAAATTAATAGACAATTTATTACCTAATTTACTTTCTTAATTTCCAATAAATGCAAGTAACAAATAAGGTCATATTTTAAACACCTAGCTCTCAACATCCCCACATTTTCTGTCCTTGTTTGAAAACAAAATAAATTAATAGACAATTTATTACCCAATTTACTTTCTTAATTTCCAATAAATAGAAATAATAAATACAAAGGAAAATAAGAGAATGTAATTCCAAAAATAGGCAAGTGTTAGACATGGAACATCAAAGCAAAGCTCGTAGGACTAGCAAAGAGAATGCGAATGTAAGCAGATAATGGCGAACCTTAGAAGAAATTCATACTCCATCGAGAACCCATTTCAGACTCAAACCACGTCTTCACTCTCATCTCTTACCCATTTCTTGAAGAAGCCCTAGGCCTTCCCTTTCCTGCTCTTAAGGCTTCTTTTGTTGACATTGGTCTTCCTCAAATTGCAGCCATATTCTCCTTCTCATGGTTTCCTGAGAACCCATGAGAAATGGAGCCAAGACGATGATCATAAGGCTAATCTTGCTAGATTCAAAGTTGCATTCCCTTATTCCATTAGCAAGGACAAGCATGGGTGGTTGCTTAATCCCATAACTCTTGCGCTTAATTCTGGTGTTAAAGGTTCATATCTGTCTCTGTGCCTCTAACTTGTATGTATAAAATTTGTGTGGCCAATTCTTCAATGCCTCAATGTCCTTTGTATGTATATGCTATGATTTTATTCAAAATATGTGCTTTTGGTTCTTATTGTCTTCAAATGCCTAAGGGTGGAATCTCCTTAACCATTATGATAATTTTTATATGCATTAGATTCTTTTAAGGTGATTGTAGTGATTAGAGAAATCAGGAATTAGAACCTCTAATCCTGAGGTTGAATTAAGCTAGTTTAGTTGCTTTGGATTTGTGAAAGAGATAAGAGATCATACCTGCAAAAGCGGGCTGAGATTTATTTAGATTGCCTTCAGATTATAGGAAATTAAATGTGTGAAGATTGGATCGTGGTGTTTATTTAACTGGTTATATAGCCATGTGTATTCTTGTACGCCTCAAGTTGACCTTTTTAACTTTGTTAGTTTGCATGGTCATAATGATTTGTGAGGCTTATTTTTTGGGGAAGAATGGCTTGAATTGCCATTAGGCTTCATATGATTGAATGGTTTAGCCTTTGGGTACTGGAATTTGCATTTGGTAGCCCCTAATATTGAAAGTTTAGGTTGTTTGCCGTGATGATGAGTTTGCAATTTTAACTTCTAGAAATTGTTTCCATAAAAGTTAAAAAAATACGCTTTCCTTCATAAAGTTCTACATCAATTATCAAATGCAAGTCAAAGTATATTATGAAAGGAATGTAGCCTTTTCTCTTTTACTTGTGACCATGCTCTCTTTGAGTGGAGGTTGGAGCCTTCATTCTTTGATATTAAACCATAGGCAATATATATTCCTTTTTCATTTTGAGTCCTTGACTGTGCTTTTTAGTCTCCTTATTCATTTTGCCCCTCTTGAAGAAGATTGCATTCTCCTACAAGTGGTGCTGTGTCTTGTGCATCAGTTCTTCTTGGTGAAATTCAACCAAGTGGTGTGAGAGGAAACCATAGACACTATACTTGTAATGAGACATTTGTCATTTTGGGCGTTAAAACAAAATTTGAGGTATGCTTCCTTCTTATTAATGTAAAGTTTTTCTCTTGAGAGACCTAATCTGATCTTCTCAATTGTAACTTCCACCTAGTGAATTTTAAAAAATCCATATGTTGCTTCATCATTTTATGGTAGATCAGACTAGGCAATGCATGATTAACAAGAATGATGGTACTATTTCCAAAACATTATTTTCTTTTCCTGTCAAATTTTCTTTCAAAACTTTCCTTTGGATTCAAAGATTGAAATAGTTTGGTGTACAACTATTGCTATCAGGTTAATTCATTTCCATTATAAAAATTTGTTTAACTTTACTTGTAAGTAATAAAGGTAAAACTCTTGCTAATCAAAGCATTAAGAATCAGAGATATTCAACTTTTCATTGGATCCCAAGTACCTTTCCATTCTGTTAAATTTATTTAACTTCGTGCATACATGCACCAATACATATGGTGAAGTTGGTTGTTACTGCAATCAGATTTTGGTTCAATTGTACACCTCTAAGATATTCCATTATAAAGTAAAGACAAACTTCTTTTAGGACAAAGGGAAAACAAAACTATAATGCATGGATGTATAACGTGTGAATTTCTGCAGCTTTGATTTCTCTTGTGCAATACTTCATCTTTTTTGCTCCATTAACTTGATATGATGCAGTGGTATAGATAGAAATTGCAAAGGACATCTTATGCATTTATATAGAGTTTTAATTATATTAGTGGTAATGTCAATTGTTGATACACTGGCCAGACACTACTATTTTGTCATGTAGTGTGAGAGAAGACAGCTTAAGTAATTGAATAGAAAATAGCATAGATACTAATTTAGGAATGAAAATGGCTCAAGTGTAGCTGATATCCATATTTATGTTGAGTAAATAGCAGTTGGAAAACCATCAGATAGCTAATAAAGGTTATGTTAAAGCAATAATTGATCAGGATGAGGTTGCTGTTGTAACTAGTACCACAGGAACAGCACATGCTCTAGTAAATATTGATCCCCTTCATAGTATATTCTTTATTGGATGCCAAGATATGACAACTAACTATAACAGTTCAAGTATTGATTTTAATGTCTGGAAAGATCTTTAGGTGTCACTGCTCAATCTATGCCTCCACCTGCCTTTTACGACTTCGAATCAAAATCATGTTAATTATTTTGTTATTGATTGTAATACTAGAGATTACAAAATCAGACATGCAATATATATGTAATCAAAATTTTTTGATAGTCATTCAATTATCAACATCCATTCATTCATTTATTATCTGTTTATTTGTAAGTTGCTTTCTTAGAGTTTTTTTGACAAATACACAACATGAATTGTGTTGGTAGTGTAACAGAAGAAGCTAATGAAATGGATCATTTTGATTATTTTCAATCTACGAATATGATTTTCTAGACTATCTTGAAATTTTGTTGTGTATGGTACTAGTTGTTTGGACGTTAAACAACTTAGCTTCTAATGGCTCATCTTCTTTATCTTCATGTCTGAACAATCCTTGGCTTGTGCTTGATATGAATGAAGTCCCTTATTATTTGATGGTTAATTTAGTTGCTTTAAAGTTTTACAACATTTTCTTGTTTGTTGGAACCTTAAATAACTGATCTTTATCATGTTAAGGTGAATGATCTTTTAGGAAAATCCCATCCATAAAATATGGAGACATGTTTGGGGATTTCTTGATTCAATCACACATATTACAAGGAGAGAGCTTCTCATGTTGTCTATTTGATTAAAAAAAAACTTCTTTTGTTTGATAAACACAACTGAAGCAGGTGTAACATAAAGGTTTCTTGAACAACCATGTGCACTTCTTCTATATATTAATGCACAGCCATGTTGGAAGCCGAAGCCTACCATATTTTGCATATAAAAAAAAAAAAAAGCCTTTCTTGTCATGTTAAAGAAAGGAGAACCAATTTCCCCATACTTGAAAGGCAAACTTAACCTGATAGGGCAATTGCTTGAACCATTTCTCAAGTCATCTCTTTACCTATAAGAACAGAAGATTTGAAAGGTATTAGAGCACTGATTTCAAGGAAATGGAGAAGCTAAGAAGAGACTGGATAGTCTGGTGAGCTACAATTACCCCAACACCAAGAACAAGCTGCATGGATGCATCAATGACATGCTAGCTATGAAAAATGTCCTGGTGAAAAGGTTTGGGTTTGATGATGCTCATATCAAGCACCTGACTGATGCACTAGGGTCCCTGGTTATGCCTACTAGTGCCAACATCAAGACGGCACTTGACCAGATAGTGTATAAGGTTAAAGCAAGGGATATCCTATTTTTCCACTACAGTGGCCATGGAACTAGGATTCCTTCCATGAAACATGGCCATGCCTTCAAACAAGATGAGGTAATTGTGCTTGTGACTTCAGTCTAATCATTAGTAAGCTCTAATTTTCTAATTTTGCATTAGTACATCTAGAAATTAACTGCTTTGTTATTGCATTAGTTAGAATTCTGGAGAACTAAGTCAACTAAGCTCTTATATGCAGATCTTGACTTGAGACAACTAGTTAAGCATATACCCAAAGGCTTAAGCTTCACAATCCTTTTGGATTTGTGTCACAATGAATGTCTCATTGACAAGGAGAAGGAACAAATTGGACCATCTTCTATCATAAAGAATGAAAAACAACCATTATCTTACAAGCCCAAAACCATTCCCTTCAAATCTGTACTACAATACTTGTCTTCACCCACAAGCATCAACACCTCAAACATCAGCATCCACTTTTTAGAATCCTTTGGTGCTAATGCTAGCCTCAAATTCCATCCTCCCTAAGACCAATTGGATTCAATGTCCTCCAAACTGGATGAAAGCATTTTGCTAAGTGGGTTCCAAGCAAATGAGACGTCTGTAGACGTGAGCGAAAGTGAGGGCGGAGGGAAGGCATCTAGAGTGTTTAGCAATGCGCTGCAGATGGTGCTAAAGGAGAACTTGGGTCCGTTGTGATGATGGCTAAGAAGGTTTTACAGGCATAATGGTTTGAGCAGCATCCTTGCTTGTATTGCAATGATGAGAATGTTGATACTACCTTCTTGTGGCAGCCTGAATGTTAGCTTTTATCCCAAGTTTAAATATTTTCCCTTTGGGATTCATTAATCCATGGTTTCAATTTGCAAGGTCGTGTGTTGGAATGATAAGTGATTTTTTTAAATATTTTACAATAGTTTAAGTGATGCAATTCAAATTACACAATTGTTTTTTTATTTATATATTATTTATAAAAAAACTAAAAAAGTGTTTTGCATTTTAAACTATATTGGTGTACAAAACACTAATTATTAGATCAACGTAAATTCCTAATTTTAGAGGCAAGATAGCGTCTTTTAATTTGATAGTTGGTGTTTTACAATTCGATATTGATCCAACGTAAAGGAAATAATGTTAATAGGCTTGAAATAAAAAGAAAAGTGTGAACATCAAATAAGGTGGAAAGCATTAGATGGTCTAATATAGATATTGAATTTACCTTAAAATTCCTTTGATCTACTTTTATGATATCACAACAAAAACTATCAACCATTTACAAAATGAAAACACCCAAACAGGTAAATTAAGATATCCAAGTAGCACTACTCTCTCCTTCACTCTTAGAAAAAACCACTTGCTTGAAACATACTTGTGGCTTGACATTGAGTTTCATCCCTGCTCCCTTAGTTCTGACTATGATTATGATTATGAATTTTGCGATGTAATTTGCACCAAAACCCCTTCATATTAAATCAGTCGAACGTGATTTTCTCATAGTGACAAAAAAAGGTATTCAGTTTTAATGTTCTCAGTATCTTTTTAACTCATTTCAATGGAAATTCTTAATGTTGCATCAATATGTAATTATTATTCAACAAACGACAGACACACATTGATGAGAATTGAGAACCTAACTAGCTATGTTATTGCACCTGGCTCGAAGAAATTGATAGAGATAATGGTAAGAAACTTAGGTTGAGGGTGACGGTTAAGCAAGCAATGCGAGCATGGAAGATATCATTTCTTGGGTGGCTTTAAGATCCAAATAGGGCAAAAACAGGCTAGATTTTGCAACGTGAAACTCCGTTGCTTCATTTACAATTGATTTATGCGAATGTTTTGCATTTAGAACCTTAAATATTTTGTCATAATATTTGAGACATGCATTTTTCACTTACGTTTTACAGGATTTAGATGGTTGAAAAATGTATATAAGAGTATTCAAAAGTTAAACTTTTTGTGGCTAAGCTTATAAATGATCTTTAATATTACTCAAATGACCAAAACACACATTTCTCGAAGATGGATTGTGGAGTCTAGACTATTTAGATGATTGCACCATATACGACTCTAATTATGGTTGAAAATATAGTTAACTTCACTCTAAACTTTCTTCCCTTTTTTTAAAACTACCATCGGTTAAGCATTTATATCTTAGCATGAAAATAGAAAGATATTTAGACAGAAAATCAACCATTTCCCCCCTACGTAATTGATTAAATTGAAGGGATAAGGAAAAGGAGAGAAAATAATTAAAGGACTTTTATTGCTATGGCCAAAAAGAGAAGGGACTTCTATTGTTTAGGGCCAAAGTTGCCACAACAGTTGGGGCACCAAATCTTTTGGGCTTATTTTTTTTTTGGCCCGTTTTCTTCTTGGTTTCATTTTTCTTTTTTCTTTTTTATTTTATTTATAAGCAGGGTATTCCTTGAATCCCTAGTTTAAGTGATTTCGCTTTGGGATTCATTGATCGATCGTTTCATTTTGCAAGTTTGTGTATTGAAATAATAAGTGATTTTTTTTTGTTTTTAAGATGGAAACAATAATAAATGAATAAAAGAGGTTCTCTTTTTATGAACAATGAACAAAATAGGTTCTAAGAGCTTCATTGATTTGTTAGCATATATTTGATGATTGATTGTATTATTTTTTAAGCATATAAAATAAGTATGGGTTGTAGAGTAATTAATTTAATTAATAGTAAAAAAAA